TGCAATATACACACCGAAACGAACAATACATGTTACTAGATCTTCCTAATGTTAGTAATGTAAGCTACACCATTTCTTGTTTTGTCTTTTTAACAGAGAGTAGAAACGATTGCAATATACACACCGAAACGAACAATACATGTTACTAGATCTTCCTAATGTTAGTAATGTAAGCTACACCATTTCTTGTTTTGTCTTTTTAACAGAGAGTAGAAACGATTGCAATATACACACCGAAATGAACAATACATGTTACTAGATCTTCCTAATGTTAGTAATGTAAGCTACACCATTTCTTGTTTTGTCTTTTTAACAGAGAGTAGAAACGATTGCAATATACACACCGAAATGAACAATACATGTTACTAGATCTTCCTAATGTTAGTAATGTAAGCTACACCATTTCTTGTTTTGTCTTTTTAACAGAGAGTAGAAACGATTGCAATATACACACCGAAATGAACAATACATGTTACTAGATCTTCCTAATGTTAGTAATTTAATTAAAATATAAAAATTTGTGATTGGACCAAAATATTTAGTGCCATCTCTCCATAGATATTATATATAAACTAAGGAGTTTCTGACAACAGATATGATTGTATTTTATGCTCCACATTCTCCGTTGAATTTTTTTTGAATTCCTCTTGAAAATTATGCAGATCAACATGATATGTGTGTTGATATTTTTTTTAGAAATTAAGATTGTTTTAGAATGGATCATGTGGCATTTCTGATTTTTTTTAGTGTATAGTTTATTGTATATTCAATACTGAATATCATATAACCATATTTTAAATATGACAGTTTGAATTTTATCATGTTGACAAAACCAGGCTTGTGAGATGTGACTGCTACTTGTAGAGTAGCTATGAACAGCTCCCTCTGGTGTTCAGTTGTATTTTCTCCAAATATGTGGTAGAGGGCGCTATATAATCAGATCAGCCTATTTCACGATACAAGTTTTTGTATACCTACACTGTTTCATAGAAAAACACTACTGATGAAAACAAATATGATGGTATCAGTGGAATATTGGCATAATGTGGGCTACTAAATATATGTTCACTTTATAAGCAATGATACAGCAAACTTTCGCTACCAGTGTATGAAAAACTGCACTGACTTCCGATTTCATATTTATTTATTTTTAGAATAATACGATGCTTTCAAAACTTTTGAGTATTGATACATCACATATTCTGTCCATTATTTCTGCTTTTACTGCATACAAAAATTTTAAACATATATAAAAATATTTTACATAATAATTATTAATTTTTTCTTCACCATTAGCACCTTTCCTGGATACCTGAAAATTTCAATCAAATTAATCCATATATGTAACATTTCATGGTAAATGTTGGAACAGATGTCAATCTTGGACTCACAGAAGAATATATCTTTCTGTAAAAATTATTATGCCAAAAAAAATTTACCATTCAAGCCTGTGACTTTTAGCAAAAACATTACTTTCTCAAAAATCATGCTGCAAATTGAAAACTAGTAATCTTTTTATCAAATTAAATTAATTGATTGGCTGAAATTTAAATTTATCAAAACAGTGGTGGGGGGATATGTTTATACCCTATGTCGGGGAAGGAGCTAGAAATAAAACAATTATGTGAATAAATTCCAAAATTAACTTTTCTTTGATATTTTGATAGTTGACTTATACCAAGTAGTTTTCAATTTCGGAATATAAAGTGGTAGCCAGGATTTTTCTTGGACACCCCCCCCCCCCGAGTGCTGTATTTAAGGCTTTAGTTTTACAATCAAGACAGGTTTTCTCATTTTTTTTCAGAAGATACTGTAATGAATGGATGTTGAACATCACATAACAATTGTTTCACAATAATTTCTGTTAAATTGAAATTTGAACTTGTACATTAGAGAGAATATATAATAACAGTAATAATCCAAACCTATGCTGATGCAGTTTTTTACTGATACATTTTAATTAACGGGGTTTTAGATGGAATCATGTTAGACTTGAATTTTTAAAGCTATTTTTAAAGGGAAATGTTTTATGTCTTCTAGTTACTATTTATTCATTTGTTTGTTAAATAATGTATTATGTACACTTTTATTTTAACTTTATTTCCTATATTCTCACCATTGTTTAAACTAGAAAAAGAACTATGTTTGTAATAATATACACCATTCTGA